GGGAGGGACTGAGGGAGGGCTCCAGGGCGTGTCCGGCCCGTCTCCCTCAGTCCCGATCAGCCGGACCCCAGCAGCAAGCTAACCTGCCGGTTGGAGTGTCTGCCCCCTGGTGGTCAGTGCACGTCATAGCAACTGGTCCCTCCCCAGCTGGCCAACCTCCCGTGTCCCCCAGCCTGGCCTGCTCCCTCTCACATTCAGCCAGATGACAGAACGACCGGTCGCTATGACACGCACTGACCACCAGGGGGCAGACGCTCAACACAGGAACTGACCCTGCTGTTCAGTGCGCCCCCACAGGGGGAGCTCCGCTCAGCCAGAAGACGTGCTCAAGGCTGGCGAACGCAGCGGCGGTGGGGGGAGCCTCTCTCACCTCCCGGGCACTCGGACATCCCCCGAGGGATCCCCGACTGCGAGAGGGCGCAGGCTGGGCTGAGGGACCCCCCCCCAGTGCACGAATTTCATGCACCGGGCCTCTAGTGTTAAACATGAAAAAATGGGGGTGGGCTGCACCCATGTATTACCGTGCGGGTTGCCATACGTGTTGTAGCCGCCTCCACCTGTAACGGGAAAAGCACAGAGTCACGCGTGCACTGGAGGGGGCCAATCACGGCCCCCAGTGGCCGATATCTCACCCTGGGGACTAGAATGGGGCATGAAGGGACCCGGAAACACAGCGTGCACGTCGAGGGTCAGGGAACACGCACGCATGAGCAAAGACGTGCAATGCAGACAAACACACACACATGTGCACGCATGTGCACACGTATGTAGGCATGCACGGCGTGTGCCCTGACTGGGAATCGAACCCGGGACCCTTCAATCCAAAGGTCGATGCTTTATCTGCTGATCCAAACCCTCTAGGGCTTTATAAAAAATTAATTCTTTTCAAAATATTAGGGGGCCAATCACGGCCCCCAGTGGCCGATATCTCACCCTGGGGACTAGAATGGGGCATGAAGGGACCCGGAAACACAGCGTGCACGTCGAGGGTCAGGGAACACGCATGCATGAGCAGACGTGCAATGCAGACAAACACACACACACACATGTGCACACGTATGTAGGCATGCACACAGGCACCCATGTCTGTGTGTGCAAACTACATACACACAGGTGCGCGCTTGCAAACATTCTGCATGTGTAGCACAGGTGAACACACGTACATCCCTGCATGTATATGTGAACTTGCAAATGCCACATGCATGCACACTTGTGCACAAACGCACACACACATATACAAACCAATGCCCGCATATGCATGTGTGAACCTACAAAAGCCACGTGGCATGCACACGTATGCACGCACACAAGTGCACAAAACATGCATACATGTGTGTGCGCACACGTATGCTCACACATGCATGTGTGGATGTGCAAATGCCACATGCATGTGCACACGTGCACAAACACGCATGCACACATACACAAATCAATGCCCGCATATGCATGTGTGAACCTACAAAAGCCATGTGCACACACACACACACATGCACATGCACACACGTGCACAGAACATGCATACATGCGCATGTGCACACGTATGCTCACATATGCATGTGTGGGTGTGCAAAGGCCGCGTGCATGTGCATATGTGTTGAGCACATGTGCACATGCATGCAAATCAACGCTCACACACGTCTGTACAAAATACACAGGCGTACGTATGCACATACAGCCACTAGCACATGCACAAACCCGTGCACATGCGTGTCCATAGCTACATCATGCACAGGGGCACACAAAGGCATGCAGTCACACACAATGACAGCACCAAGCAGGCCTCCATCCCTTTGAGCAACTAAGGCCTCGCCCGGCCAGTGTGGCTCAGTGGTTGAGCATCGACCTAGGAACCCGGAGGTCAGGGTTCGATTCCCCAGTCAGGGCACAGGCCCGGGTTGCGAGGAGGGGGCGTACAGGAGGCAGCCGGTCCATGACTCTCTCTCTCATCATTCATGTCTCTCTCTCTCTCTCTCTCTTCTTCTGTGAAATCGATGAAAACATATTCTTTTGCAAAAGCAACAACGAAATCGCGTGCAAAGCAGGGGCCCAGGTGGTGACTCAGATCCCGTGCAAAAGGCGCAGACAAATAGGGGTGTACAATCCCCTCTCCTCCCCACCCCCAGCACCCAGGGGTGGGGGTGTCAGCTCTCCAAAGACACCCTCGCCCCTGGCGGCTGTGCGGACACCCTGCCTTTACCATAATTATATCCATTCGAGCTGGGTCTATTGCGCCCTCCACCTGCTGGACAGAATGAGCCCGTGAGGCACCAGGCAAGGCCCCGGCGACACCCAGACACGCAGCCCATACGAGGAAGCCAGGAACCCCGGAAAGGAAGATGCTGGGAAAAGGCCACCAGGGCATCTAATGGAAAGACATAGTCACCCCCCAGCCCTTTCTGCTCATGCCCGGGAGACCCCGTGGAAATGGAGGCGCTGGGTCCCGCCCCCAAAGGGCGGGGCCTGCCTCAGCCGCGTGCAAATTTGCTCTCTGAACGGCCGCCAGGGGCAAAACCCCTCCAGATGCGTCCAGAACACGTGATGCATCGGCATCAGGGCCAATGAAAACGAAGAGATGCCGGCTGGTGTGGCTCAGGGGTTGAGCGTCGACCTAGGAACCAGGAGGTCCCGGGTTCGAGTCCCGGTCAAGGGCACATGCCCGGGTTGCGGGCTCCATCCCCAACCAGTAGGGGGCGTGCGGGAGGCGGCCGGTCCATGATTCTCTCTCATCGTCGATGTTTCTCTCTCTCTCCCCCTCCCTTCCTCTCTCTGAAATCAATA